CTCATGAGCTGTTGATCTTCAGCGTCGGTTAACAGATCTGAGCGTTTTTGCTCAGCAGTGAAATGGGGTCTAAGAATGAAACATCCCAAAGTCATTGTGAGGATTAAATGATGTTTGCTAACCACCTGATGCATTAGAAGCAACAGGTGGTGGGAATAGTAGAAGGGGTTATTGCTGTGGTGGCTGCTTTTGCCCCTCTGCTCCTACAATACTGAGGCTGCTTACATTTTCTATTCCTTTGTATCCCTATAATTATCAGCATGTGTCTTACCATGGCTCTGCTTCTGGGAAAAATTAAGTATTATCATTATTATTGACAGGGCATGTGAGAACATGTTTATGAATCTCTGTTTCACTATAAAGCCTTTTTGGGTTATAAGTGTTTTGCTAAGATGAGGCCAGTAGCAGGTAGTGATGTGAGAGAACTTGCAAGGCATTAGGAAGCAAAGACAAGAACTTTACAATCAGGAAAGTTGTTGACTGCAAGTAAATGGATCGGGTGTTTGGAACAGTAGAGACTTAAGATCCAGCAAGATAACAGTCTGAACTCCAAGCTAACAGTCTGAACTCCAGAGCTAGTAGATCATATAAAAGGGACAAAGTAACTAAAGAGAAAGGTTTAATGTGTCAAGAATGTTCATGATAATTAAAGTGAATGTTGTTTTAACAGGACCTCCTATGCCTTTCACCTACAGGCAGAGATTGATCCTTGAAGTCTGCTGGCGTGAGACTTAAGGATAGAAACTATTAGATGGGGTGACCGTGTAATTGTCCAAACTGGGGCAGATTGGAGAATGAATGGAGCCTCTATTAGTAGTTATACTGAGACAACAGGGGGCAGGCAGTAAACTGTAACTGTAGCAAACTAGAGACTATGTCCACTCCACAACTACAGCTTCTAGATGAAATGGGAACACAGGTGTAAACAGAGATGAAGTGGGAATAGAGGATGAAAACAGATTAAGTAGGAATAGAGGATGAAAACAGAGACGAAGTGGAAACAGTAGGTGGAGACTTGCTGACATGAGGATTTATAGGGGTTTGGCGGGGGGATGGATATACTCAAGAGAAATGTTATATATGGGCTTCTTTCGATACGAGATCCTTGACACCATCTTTTAGGTGGGGTGACCTGCCAGACCCCAGTGCAGGGAGGAGCCAGAAGTAGCATTTTGTAGGCATCCCCACAGCTGAGCAGTCCCGGGAGGACAGTTTTCCATTTATCTACTGGCTTCTGGGGTAGGAGTGATATCTGGGAAGAACACAGAAGAGCTAACAGTGTCAGAATATAAAACACATAATACTAGTGGGTCCTTATCAAGAGAAGAATCAGTGGGTTTTTATAATCCTTTGTTTAAAAAGTATTGTGGTTTGTATTGTGCTTTAGAAAGATATCAATAATGAATAAAGGGAGAAACTTTGCTTGAAAAGGTGAGCTTCAGTTACTGATTATTTATGTGGAACACTTCATTCTCTGGCAAAGATGGCAAGTGTTCTTTTTGCCCTTTTTTGAGTCCTTTGCTGTCATTATTATAGCCACTGGCCACATGTGGCTGCTGTTGAGTATGGAAATGCTCTCCAAATTGAGATGTGCTACAAGCGTAAAATACCGCATTTCAAGACTTAGGATGAAAAAAAGAATGTAAAATATCTAACAACTTTACATTGATTACATGTTGAAATGACAAGATTCTGGATATGTTGCATTAAGAGAAAATATATTATTAAAATTAATTTGACCTGTTTCTTTGTACATAGTTAATATGGTTATTAGAAAATTTTAAATTATATTTGTGGCTTGCATTATATTTCTTCTGGACAGCACTGTACCAGATCATAAATGCACTCTTAAAATTTTAATATATTAAATTTTTTAAATAGTCACATTTTCTTTATATATATATTTTTTATTGAAATATAGTTGATTTACAATATTGTGTTAATTTCTGCTATACAGAAAAGTGATTTAGTTATGTATATACACACACACACATTCTTTTTTTTAATATTCTTTTCCATTATGATTTATCATAGGATATTGAATATAGTTCTCTGTGCTGTACAGTAGGAGCTTGTTGTTTATCCAGTTCTCTATATAAAAGCTTCCATCTGCTAAACCCAACCTCCCACTCCATCCCTCCCCCACCCCCTCCCCTTTGGCAACCACCAGTCCGTTCTCTATGAGTCTTTTTCTGTTTCATAGATAGGTTCATTTGCATCATATTTTAGATTCCACATATAAGTGATATCATATGGTATTTGTCTTTCTTGTTCTGGCTTACTTAGTAGGGTAATCTCTAGGTCCGTCCATGTTGCTGCAAATGGCATTATTTCATTCATTTTTATGGCTGAGTAATATTCCATTGTATATACACCACATCTTCTTTATCCACTCATCTCTCGATGGATATTTAGCTTGTTTCCATGTCTTGGCTATTGTGAATAGTGTGCTGTGAACATAGGGGTGCATGTATCTTTTTGAAGTAGAGTTTTTTCCACATATATGCCCAGGAGTGGGATTGCTGGATCATATGGTAGCTCTACTGTTAGTTTTCTGAGGAACCTCCATACTGTTTTCCATAGTGGCTGCACCAGTTTACATTCCTATCCACAGTGTAGGAGGGTTCCCTTTTCTCCACATTGTCTCCTCTCCAGCATTCGTTATTTGTAGAGTTTTTAATGATGGCCATTCTGTAAAATAGTCACATTTTCTAATGGCATAGCCCAGTGTCAGGAATGTTTCTTCTTAATTTCTCATTGTTTTATCATGGTTTCTAATACTTTATGTTTTTAGTTTTCACAAGCGCTTGCTGACTATAAAGCACTTAGAACCATAGATCAGTAGAATACTTTTGAGGTGGAAGAGGGATTTAGAGCTGTTCTAACACCGTCAGTTTAAAAGGGAAGCTCCTGAGGCTTGTAGGTATATGTACTTTCCTTAAAGGCTACAGTTATTTAATAGGAGAAGCCCACCATTGAGAGAAATCCTGGGTGCTTCCTTTTGTGAGGCAGAAAATCACCTCATTAAAGTTATCCTCTTTCAACTAATTTATTTCTCTTTGGTATATGCCAGTGGTTCAACCTGGATTGAGTTTGCTCCCCAGTGGACACTTGGCAATGTCTGGAGATGATTTGGTTGTCACGGCTGAACTAGATGCTACTGGCATTCCCGTGGGTAGAGGAGAGGTCAGGGGTGCTGCTAAATCCCGTACAAGGCACAGGATACACTCCCACGACGAAGAATCGTCCGGCCCCAAGTGTTCCTAGTGCTGACATGGAGAAACCCTCATATATGAATTAGTTTTGTATTCTTAAAAATGATGGTATTAGTGGCATCATTAATTGGGTGGGCTGGCTGCCAGCTGGGAGGTCAGCTTCTGTATAGTCAGTCCAAGTTCCCTTTTCTAGGAGCTACCGTTTCCTCATTGATAAAATGGGGACAGTTCAGGGCTCAAGTGGGTGGACAGAGCACAAGCTCAGAGGCTCAGTACGGGGGAAGCAAGACAGTTACTAGTGGAGAGAAAGGGGTGGGTGTCATGATGAAGTGGACTTTACTGGCTGAGCAGATTTGCTTTCTCAGCCAGGCTACCTTCATTTGCTTTTGTGCTATAGGTCCCACTGTCTGAGTGATTCCTGCCAGAAAGATATAAGGGACAGGTAATTAAAAATGGGGGGTGAGAAGTCCCCCGTCAGGGGGCAGATGCAGGCCTGAGCAGGAAGTGGGTCTTGCTGTATGATTGTGACTGGCCAGTGTTTGGTTTAGGTTAGTATTTGTTTTGTTTTCAGAGAGAAATGATTGTTTTTAACGTGCTTTTTAAAAAATATTTATTTATTTGGCCGTGTTGGGTCTTAGTTGCAGCACGTGGGCTCTTTAGTTGTGGCATGTGGGATTGAACCCAGGCCCCCTGCACTGGGAGTGTGGAATCTTAGCCACTGGACCACCAGGGAAGTCCTGAAAAATGATTTTTGAACATGTGTATATTTGTGTATAGGTAATACCAAATAAGAAAGGAGTGGTTAATCCCTCTGAGGATAGGACAAGAGTAGAAAATAACTAATAAGTTGGAGAATTGAATAAAAAATGACAAGTATAGCCTTGAAAGCAGAAAATACAAACTTCTAAAAATGCAGTATTTGCTGTGATTAGTTAAATGAATCGTGGAGAGAAAAACTGACCAGGAATAAGTAACTATATAGTCTGGTACTTTTAGAACTTTTTAATCCTGGAATTTTTCAGAGTATGTGTTTGAACTATTGAACCTTTATTTTAATTCTGCTAGTAGACTACTTCTAGGATAAGGAATAAACTTCTGGGCCTTGAAGTTTGAGAGATGTACAAAATTTGAAGATGATTCAGAGGATATTTACAAAGATAAATTAAGGAGAGTAAAAGAGAAGGATAGTTTAGAAATACATAAATTATTAAATTTTATAGAATTTGAGAAATGAGTTTATGACTTCGGAAACAAAACCAAGAATTAGGCCTCAGTTGTGTTATGAAGAGTTAGTTCTCTTTAGAGATGAGGAAGAATTTCTAGAGAAAAATGGTTATTAAACACATTGTAGAGAACCAGGGAGTCTTCTGGCCAGGCAAAGCAGTAAAGGCAACATGGAATGGTACGCTTTGGATTTTGTGACTAAGATCCCTGGTAATAAGACAGAGCTCCTATCTGATGGTTACGTGACATCAGCCTTTTGGAGTGAGAAAGGAAGGTGGGGTATGTAGCTACGGATAAATATGACATTCAGATGTAAAAGTGCGGCGTTTGTCTTCCTAGAATGTTTTTTGTTCAGGGCCTCCTGAAAAATGCTTACATATTTTCAAAATGTAGCTAAAATATTATTTCCTCAATGAAGTCCTTTCAAATTTCAAGTAGCAGTGCCCTCCCTCATCCCTGTGCTTCCACGCCACCTTCTGTATTTCTCTTTTAAAACATTTATCACATCATATTGAAAAGACCATATTGAAGTTTCCAATTTAGTTTATTTAATTTTTTCAGTAATACATTCACGATTCCAGAATGAGAAGTGCCATGGTCATAGCTTAGTCTCCCACCTACCCTTTTCCCTCCTGTGCACGGATGCAGGTAACCGTGTTATTGTGTATCCTTCCAAATCATCTTTACGCATGTATAAGCAAACTGAATATACAGTCGTATTTTCCTAACTTTTTATCCAAAGGGTTTCATATTGTGTCACTATCCCTATTAAGATGATGGTCACAGGTATTTGTTAAATGAATCAGTATACTAGTAAGACAGGGTTTGTTTGTTTGCTTGTTTTTTAACTTTCCCCATCCCAGGGGATCCTTCTGTGGCTCCACTTAGAAGAGGTAAACTAGATTGGGGTCACAATTAAAAATTGTCGCCAGCCCTCTTACCAAAGGAGAGTTGAGTGCTGATAGGTCACAGCTCCAGCCTTTCTAAAGGACTCAGACCTTTCCAGAAAGCAGAGGTTCTGATCAGAGTAATGCAGTCTAACCAATATTATAAGAAGATGCAAATTTTCTTGGCCATGGAGCCAACCAAATGATGGAATTAGGTATCAAGACAGAATGTTAGATTTCTTGTTAGAGAGGAAAGTATCTCATGTGCCTAGAGTAACTCTGATGCAAATGTGCTTAGCAGTAAAAACAAATAGCCTCTCGTATTTCTGTGACTCAGTTTTCAAAAAGAGTTGCAAAAGTACACTAGTGGAGGTTTTTTTTTTTTTGTGGTACGTGGGCCTCTCGCTGTTGTGGCCTCTCCCGTTGCGGAGCACAGGCTCTGGACGCGCAGGCTCAGCGGCCATGGCTCACGGGCGCAGCCGCTCCACGGCATGTGGGATCTTCCCGGACCAGGGCACGAACCCGTGTCCCCTGCATCGGCAGGCGGACTCTGAACCACTGCGCTACCAGGGAAGCCCACTGCTGGTGGTATTTTTTTTTTTAAGATTTATTTTATTTATTTATTTATTTATTTTTGCGGTACGCGGGCCTCTCACTGTTGTGGCCTCTCCCGTTGCGGAGCACAGGCTCCGGACGCGCAGGCTCAGCGGCCATGGCTCACGGGCCCAGCGGCTCCGCGGCACGTGGGATCCTCCCGGACCGGGGCAGGAACCCATGTCCCCTGCATCGGCAGGCGGACTCCCAACCACTGTGCCACCAGGGAAGCCCACTAGTGGAGTTTTAAAGATATTTTAGATCATTTAGCTAGATGTTCTCTTCCTATGGATACTTCTTTTATTAAAGAAAAAAAAGACTCAGAAAAAAATGAATAACTTAGCAGGATCCATAAAGTTCTGACAGGTTCAAATCAATTCACATCAGACAGGAAGTAATCATATGAGATGACATATTTTTTCCCTAGAAACAAATTCCCTGGGGACAAGTTTTCAAAATCTGAGCCTCTTAGATAAAAGCAAGTTGTTTTACATGATAAATGAGATTCATCAAACTGCCAACTATGTTGTACACTGAAACTGGGTTTAATTTACTTATGTTACTGTGAGTTTGCTATTTGTTCTAAGATATTGATAAAACAAATGATCACAACTGCAGTAGCAAAAACAGATGAAATTGTATGAAAGTAAGTCAGCAAGCAGGGACATCAGTGATCCCTTGCAAACTAATGACTAGATTTTCATCTGGCAGTTGAAAAACAAAGCTCATTTTGAGGCATAATTTAAATGGTTTTCAGGTCCTGTGTCTTTTCAGAAAGTATTATCTCTCACAATGGCATGTTAAGAAAAATGGCGCTTAGTTTCAGGGGAGATGAAGTTTAATCTTGGCTTTGCTGCTAAAGAGCTGTGGGGTTCATTCAAGTCCTGACCTCTGATTTTCAGCCTTTAATGAGGGGAGCGGATGATAAATTTGGTGTATGTTGTTAAGATCCCTTTCAGCTATGAACTTATTTCAGTAAAAAGGGGAAAATAAAAAGAATGGTTATCTGACCTCCTTAATCATGGGTATTTTATGGCATGTGAGTGAAGTGGTAGTAATTATGGGATCTCTGGCTGATTGAAAATCAGAACATAAAAAAATTTGAAAGCTTTGATATACGTACTTTGGTTTCTTTTTCTACAAAACAAGATGATGTCACCTTAACAAGTAATGTCTATCAATTTAGTTTACTACTTGAATATTTTGTGTTAGCTTGGCATTCTTTTTTTTTTAAAACTCTGGCAACTTGCTGAGGGTTTTATTTTGACATATGGTTATAAAACTTGTGGTGATCAAAATATAATATAGATTTGTGAGCTGGCTGCCATCCTGAAAGGAAACACCCATTAAATTTTTTTCTGGCTTGCACCTCTAATGATTGATTGCACTGATATACAAGTGAAAGTCTTAACATATTTTCAGCATTTTGGCCATTTAAATTTGGAGTAATAATAATCATTTTAACTGCTCACCTAGATAGGAAAGATAATAAGGTGTCTTTCTTTGGGTTAATATGTATGTTTCATATATAAAGTGTAATCTAATAAACTTTGAATAGTTTTGACTAATTTAGAATATGATGACCAGGACAAAACTTGGGTCTTTATGTGCTTTCTAAAGAAATTAATCAAGGTATTAGAGCAAAAATGTCCAAAGAAGGAGGAAAAAGCCCAGTGAAATTGGAGACAAACGCCTGCAGAAATGGCCTGCTGTCTTCAGAGATGAAATTTCTTACTTAAAGCATAGGCCATCTGTTTATCAGCCTTATTTCTCTCCTCAGGCCTCGGAAGAAAGCCCTTCAAGAAGAGGGCTGTTACCTTTAACTCAATAATATTAACCGATCTTCTCTCTGATGTTACAATATTCTTACCTAACTTTTTTTCTAAACCACTGTACAGACTATCATGAGGAAAAGAGACTCTTAAACGGTAAGCCATATACATTTATAGTAAAAAATGAATCATATTCACATGACTGTGTACAGTAGTGCCTCACAGAATTATTTGGGGTATTTAGATATTTTTTATACAAAGGATGTGTTTACTTGCCTAAGCTTAGAGGATTTGGCAGAGAACTTTGTAGATCCCTTATTGCAGCCCTCCTTTTTTTTTTATCTTTATATATTGATGTTTTTATTTTATAGGATAGATTTTTTTCAGGAGTGTAATTACTGTTTACATTCTTTTATATATATATCTTTATCAGAGTATAATTGCTTTACAATGTTGTTAGTTTCCGCTGTACAACAAAGTGAATCAGCCATATGCATACATATATCTCCCCATATGCCCTCCCTCTTGAGCCTCCCTCCCACCCTCCCTTTCCCACCTCTCTAGGGGGTCACAAAGCATCGAACAGCCCTGACTCTTACCATAATCCCTTCTATAACATCCCTGAACATGTGTTCATCTGCCCTCAGCTTGAGTACTCATGGTGACTAGGAGTTCCACCCTCAGAGGCCAGGACGTGTCCCTCCCTCAGGCACGGGGTGCTCTTCCAGTGTCTACACAGATGCTGAGCAGCCAGCCTATTAGTCTCCCCTCCTCTGGGCTCGGCAGTTCTGGCTTCCTCAGCCGTTCAGTATGACTTGGAATTATGACTGGCACTGCCACTAACCCCCCAAAAATGTTTGGTATGACACTTATGAATTGCATGGGGTTACTCTGACTGAACCGTATTACTAATGTATGTTTAAAAATTGGGTTTTTTTCCTCCCTGTTTGCACAAGAAAGTTATAGAAATTCAGCTAATAAGCTGGATTGCCAGATGAATTACCTTTTCTTTTTTAACTAGAAAAGATTGTCTTATTGTAGACTACTTTATGCAATTTGTGATGTAACACCTGAAGTTGTTTGTCTGACAGTATCACTGATAGTATCTTTGGAGCTCTTGCGTGTTCTCAGAGTTTTCAAAAACAGTGAGAAAACCAGAGCCTTGAAAATGTGATGTTGAGGACTTCCCTGGTGGCTCAGTGGTTAAGAATCCGCCTGCCAATGCAGGGGACACTGGTTCGAGCCCTGGTCCGGGAAGATCCCACATGCCACGGAGCAACTAAGCCCGTGAGCCACAACTACTGAGCCTGTGCTCTAGAGCTCATGAGCCACAGCTACTGAAGCCTGTGTGCCTAGAGCCCGTGCTCCGCAACAAGAGAAGCCACCCCAATGAGAAGCCCGTGCACCACAACGACGAAGAGTAACCCCAGCTCGCCACAGCTAGAGAAAGCCCGCGTGTAGCAATGAAGACCCAATGCAGCCAAAAATAAATTAAAAATTAAATCTTTAAAAAAATAAAAATAAAATTTGATGCTGGGGCACATCCACAAGAATGTCTAAAATGAAAAAAGACAGAATACCACGTGTCAGCAAGGTGGTGGAGCAACAGGGCTCCCATACACTTCTGGTAGAAAGTGTAAATTGGTATGACCACTTTGGAAAACTGTTTAGCAGTATTTACTAAAGCTAAACATATACATGTCCTATATACCTACCAGAAATGTAGATGGATGTTCTTTATGAATGTATATGTACATGTACAAGAACATTTATAACAGCACTATACGTAACAGCTAAAAACTGCCCAAATGTCCATCAACAGGAGAATGAATAGATTCCGGTATATGGTATGTTCATACAGTGTAGTAATACTCAGTAATAAAAAGGAACAAACTACTGATGTATTCAGCATCCTGGATACAATCTCAGAAAACTACAGACCTGATTTATTGTTTACTATTAATCATGCTGATTTGACATTAACTGAAATGTCTATAGAGCTGGACCAAAAAAGCCAGACCAAAAGAGAACATATTTTATGATTCCATTTTTTATAAAGGCCAAATGCAGGCAAAAACTAATCATGATGTTAAAAGAATAGTGGTTACCCTTGGGGGAGGGGTGCTGAATGGAAGGGGGCACAGGTAGGTGCTGGCTACAAGAGTTTGTTTTACTTATGAAAATCCATTGAGTAGTACATTTATGACTTGTGTCCTTTTATAATATTTCAATAAGAAGTTTACTGAAAAGATGGGGGAAAAAAAAAAGAAAAATTATACATGGATGAACTGTAGCTATTTTGTTTGTTTTTCTTTGTGAAGGCATGCTTCCCAAGAGCCAAGTGACAGATCCACTTGCCAAAGAAGGGCCTAGTTCTCCAAGGTATGCATCCTTGTTTTACTTTTTTAAAGCGTAATCAGTTCTACACCAAAATATACACGTTAAAAAAATGGCTCTAAGTTTGATTTATTGCTTATTTTATTAATTATGCTTCTTTGACACAACAACTGTAGTGCCTCATTTATCAGGCATTGTTGGAGAATGAGCTGTTCCGTAAATATGAATTTTTAACATAACTGAAGTTTAACCCATTTTAAACACCACAACTTTAAAAAAGAACTATTTTTTGTGATTATAAAATATACATTCATGGTAGAAAACTTGGAAAATAGAAATACAAAAGGAAGTGATAAAATCAGTTGTAATCCCACCAACCCTGGATATAGACGCTTAATATTTGGTTTATTCCACACAGTTTATTCATGTGATACCTATTTCCATACTATTCTATTTTGATAATACAGTATTACAGTATATTCTATGATCAATTTCCTATGTCATGAAAGATTCTTCAAAAGCATTTTTTGTCTGTATTCTATCATGTGATGGAAATTGATCATAGAAATCCATAATTTATTCAACTATTCTATTTTTTGTGTGTCTAGTTTGCTTTATCAGTTTTTAATGGAAATCCTTCAGAATGTATTGTACCCTGTCTTAGTAAATTAAGCAATCCATGTATATTTTTGTTAATGATATTTCAGATGCCCTTAGTGTTATGTGTGTTACTTGTAGTCTTTCTCTTACCCCCTTTCCCCCCTATCATGAGTCTATAACAGCAGCTTCTGGCTCTACTTGCTATACCTGTTAAATTATTTCATATTCAATTTTAAGTTAAGGGCCTGAGGATACCTCCTAGCATTCACATTGGGGGCCTGTATACAGGTAGTAAGTACAAAAACAGAATCAATTTGATCAATAGCTATTACAAAACCGAAGACTTAGTTTTTCCTTAAGTTTTTACTGTTGACCATTAAGCATCCTTGGTGAGTTAATTTCTTGAGGAGTAATAACATATTTGTGACAGGGAGGAGTGAAGGTAATAAGCATGTAGATTTTGTCATGCTCCTTCAGAAAACATGTTGTGCTACTGCTCTGATAAAAGGAATTTTAGATGTGTAACCTTTATAAAAAGTGCCTTCTCAAGGATCTTGTTTGTTTTTATCCAAGTTAGAATACATGGATGTGTAAGTATTTTAAATTGAGAAATAATTGCTTTATTATTTATTTCATGGTAACACCACTGATTATTTAGAAAAAAACCTTTACCTAGAGAAATATATTTCTCACTGTAGATTTTGAACTATGTTTTAAATCATGTATTTATTGTGTCATATTTTATATTTTTTAATTGTATATATTTTAAAATTATGTATTTAATGATTTAATATATGTTACTGCACATGATTATTTATTCTTTTATAATATTTTACAGCTACGACTGGTTCCAAACAGACGCTTTAGTCACCATTGTCATATATACTAAACAGAAGGTAAACACATTTTTAAGATCAGAAAAAAACAAAAAAGTAAATAATAAATGTGAGCTATGCGCAGGTGTACTTTTCTAAGAGCTCTTCTTGTATTAACTTACAGCAACTCTGTGAGGTAGACCCTTTCGTTACCCCTATCTTACAGATGAGGAAACAGAAATTAAGTAATTTACCCAAAGTCTCACGGTAAGCGGCAGATCTAGCACTTTGAACCCAGGCAGGCTGGCTCCGTAGTATGTGCCCTTAACAACCATGCCATAGCATCTTAGGGAAAAAATAGACTAGGAAGAAGCATATTTTATGTGCTCTTCTGTGATTGTTTTTGTGTTTAAGCATGGATAACAGCAGTGAGAGTCCCCGTTTAACTTCACCATACGAACTAATTTCCTGCACTTAAATTGGAATTCAAGAGCCAGGAGAGGCTGTACTGCTGGAGCTTAGTATGCTTAAGCCACTAACGGGGTTCAGTTAATGCCCTCTGAAAACTAAAATTAAGGAGTTAATTCATTCACTAAGTGTTTATTGAATCCCTGCTTCATTTTCAACACCATCGTAGAATTCAGGAATCTAATGATGGGCCAGTTTCATAGAGACTGAACTCTCACCAGGCTTACAGTCCAGCTGGGAAATCAGATAAATAAGTAGGCAACTTACAACATCTCCAGACACATCCTCCAGCAACTGGCAAGGTTCCCACACTTGAGGAACTGTGGAGATTTAAAGACAAGTTCTGGCAGCTAGGAATTTCTGAGAACTCATGCTACTTCTGTAGTAGCAGAACCACATCTGAGCTGGTGAGCGCCTCCTACTCCTGCAGCAGGATCTGATGGCTCCGCAGGAGTGACCAGCCTCTGCCTGAAAGAGCCAAGAGGCCCAGAGAGTCACTGCTTGTCCCGCCTTCCACTCCCTCTTGGTATTGTCTCCTAACCAAGCAGTCCTGAACCAAGAGGACAGGGCCTGGCAAGGTTGGAGTCTGTGTGCTTTCATTGGTGATATCAGTGAAGCGCAGAGGATGGATGACTAAGGGAAGGGGGAAGGTTTCTACGTGGAATAATGTATTCAGTGTATGGTGTAAACGATAGGCACCAAAATAACTTGCACCAAAGCTATGTAGAAATTAGAGACATCTAAAAATTTGTTAGTGAATTTATTATTATTATTATTTTTGATAAGCTGAGCCTAAGAGGTTGTGTTATTTGCACAGTGTCACATAATAGTGGAAAGATAAAAATGAACACAGATATCTTGGCTTCTTGTCTGATTCTAATTTTTTTTCCAAATTATTTATTAAACAAATATTTGAGCACCTACTTGGTGCTGAGCAATATTCTGAAGACAGTATTCTGCCCCTTACACTTAGAGCTTAAAGACGAGTGTGTAAGGTAGACATTAAGCATAGACAAATGCATAGTTAAAATTGTGATATGTACTTTGAAGGAGAAGAACTGGGTTGTATGAGAGAGAAAAAAACAGGAATAACGTGTATTTAGCTTGTGGGTTCTGTAAATAAGTACCATATGAACTTTCACTGATCAGCTTAAAAGTATAGTAATAGGAGTTTGGTGAAAAGTTTACTTTTTAATCTTTCTCTTTTCAATTTCCATTTAAGGATATCAATTTAGACTCAGTAATAGCTGATCACCAGGATGATTCCTTTAGAGCAGAAACAGTTATCAAGGATTATTCATATCTTATACATATTGGTAAGTACCTTATTCTGTATTCATGGAAACAACTTTTGTTTCCTTTAGGTATAGTAGTTTCTGGTGTAGAGTCTCGGTACCTATAATATTTTATGTGCCATTGTCATTTTGGTTTTTCATTTTTGATCTTTTTTTTCTGTTATTTCTTTATACTAAGGAAAATGCTAGCAAATGGCAGTACAACCTCACTTTTCCCAAGTTTAAACAATTAGGTGCGATCAAAATCAATAATCATGTGAAATACTTGTTGGCCCAGCTTTGTAAGACTCTGTAACTTTACCTACAAATAAATCTCCGAGGCCTGCCTGTCATGTGCTTCCGCTGAGTAGACATCACCAGGCACTGTTCTATCGGCCTGTCTCTTGCCAGCCGCAAGGGTATACTGTACCCTTCAGCTGCCTGTCCCTTCATGGGCAAAGACCTACCATACAGTTCACTTCTGTCTGTTTTGAGAGGTTACAGATCTATCAGGGGAAAGAAATCAGGACTAAAATCTAGAATCAAGGTAGCAGATTCTTAATCCATTTCTCACCCATAATGACTCTAGGAGTTCATCATTTTCTCCTTTAAAGAAGGTAATGTTATTCTAGTTAGAAAGTAGAAATGAAACAAACCAAAACAGCAAGAAGAAAACTGTATTTTAAGCACACATTCTTATGTAAAGAACGTTTCATTTACTTTTGCAAAACAGAGACTGAAATTCTCCAGGCCTCAGATGACTCGCGATTCAGCTCATGGCTTTACCATATTAATGAAGGACCTTTAGTCCTGAATTTGATTGGAGTTGATAAATGTTTTTTCTTTCTTATTTTCCCCCCACTCATTAATCAACCTCAAACCTTAAACATTTCTTCTAGAAATACATGCTACCCTATTTTTTGCTAGCATAAGATCAAATATATATTGCCTCTTAGGGAGAGTTTTAATCAAAAACTCAGATGTCTAGAAAAGTATACATTATTCATTAGCTCTGTCATGATTTTTCTTTAAGGAAGACCTCTGTGTCAGCATTTACTATGTTTCAAATGCTTTATGGCTAGTTCTGTTCACACTGTAGCTAACTGTATCTTGCACACATATAAACAACAAACAAAAATTTCCACAGTCAAAAATGTGAAACTCCTGGTTGCTAATATTAGATCAGAAGGACTAAAATAATGCAGAATCTTAAGTTCCACATAACTATTAACACAGTGAACTTTAGAGCAGTTTTTGTAAAAATACTTCTTGCATCACCCCCTTCTGGAATGTAAGTTCCATAAGAGCAGGGATTTTTCTCTTTTACTAACTGTGATAACTGTAACACCTGGAAAGTGCATAACACGCATAGATGCCCAATAATTTTCTTTTTCAATAACTGAATGAATATTCAACTTAGAGAACAGTAAGAAAGGAAACGCTGAGCTAGACCCAGTCCCGGCCTGTATTCACACACGCACGTGCACACCCTGGAGTATGTGTGTTTCACTTGCTATCTCTCCCTGCCTTGCTCCTGTCTTGGTTTGTAGCATTGTCGATCTGGGACTGTCCTTGCACCAGTGCGGGTTATCCACCTGTGGGCAATTGAGTATTTACTCCTTAGTTAATAGGGAGAGAAATGGAAAAATTGAAGACACATATTTAAGTAATTTGTCTCAAAACATTGTATACAGTAATTTGGTTGTGTTCAGTTTCTTTCTTTTGATTTCTCAGGATATGTTTGAGAGATGTGGAATGGTGCATGAAAGAACCATTTTAATGATCTTATATGGTGTTTGTAGACCATAGGAACTGAAGTTGGATCTTAACTGAAATTTTTTTTTCTCCAGCCCTAAGTCATGAGATTCAGGAAGATTTTTCTGGTAAGCTACCAAAAATAATTTATCTATGTACATATACACACACACGGGGGCGTGGACAGCATTTGTCTTATTATTCATTTGTATATTTTCATGTTGCAGACAAGGACATGATGTTTTCTATATAAGCAAGTACATTAATTTTTAAATGTACTCTTTTCCCTCTGGTTTCAGTTCCCCCCACGCCTTTTTTCTTTCCCCTTTTTCATCTCATCTCTTTTCCCTTTCCTTTTCCTCTCCTTAGAAAAAAAATTCCTGTCCCCATTCTTCCTTCCGGCCCTACTCCTGACATGCAGCTTGTAGAAATATACTTAACCACACCAGACAAATTTTTCTTAGGTGTATATATTCAAATATTTAATATTGACAGAGCACATTAAATTGTGACTATTTCTGCATGTAAATACACAACGTGGATTTTACACAGCTGTTTAGCAATAGAAGACTCATCAAAGAAAGGTGGTTTCTTGTTTTTCGTGTTTTTCTTTAGCTTTATTGCAATATAATTGACAAAATTAGAATATATTTAAAGATTTAAAGTGTACAATGTTATGATTTGATAAAGGTATATGCTGTGAAAAGATTCACAGAATCAAATTAATTAACACATCCATCACCTCACATATTTACCTTTGTGTGTGTGTGTCTATGCATATGAACACAAGTTCTGTTGTCTTAGCAAATTTCAGGTATACAAGACAGTGTCATCAACTGTTGTCACCATGTTATACATTAGATCCTCAGACCTTATTCATCTTGTAGCTAAAAGTTGGTACCCTTTTATTAAACTCTCTCTATTCCCCCCTCCCCCTGCCCCAACTCCTGGCACTATTTTGCTACTCTCTGTTTCTATGAGTGTGAATTTTTTTTTTAATTCCACATATAAGTGATACCATGCACTATTTGTCTTCTCTGTCTTATTTATTTCACTTAATATAATGCCCTCTAGATTTATCATACGTTGTCACAAGTGGTAGGATTTCCTTCATTTTTTAAGGCTGAATAATATTCCATTCTATATTCATATATACATGTGGTTTCTTGTTTTAAAGTACTGTCAGCGTACCTTACACCGGTTCTATACCTTCCCTTTTCTTTATACCGTAGTAAGTTCTGTAAATTGTATAAATTAAGCTCTTTAAAGTCAAGGACTTCTTATGTTTGTTAAGCTTCAAATCAGTGCTTACTGAATTGAATTTATTTGAATAACCTGTGTTTAAAAGTTGTTAAATTGCTACTGAATTATGTGTTTACAGTGAGGAAGGACAGATTGTTTCTAAAGAGGAAAAGAAATATACCTTAGATCTTTAAAAGCACATTCAATTCATAAAATTTAATCAATTTTAAAAGTTTATTTTATTATTATACTCATGTGTTCTAAACTATTTTAAACATTCAAAAATAAAAAGAGAATCTAAAAGATTTTTAATTATCAAAGATTGACATGCACTTTATTGGGATTCATTCTCCTGAAGCTTTTTCTATGTTTATTAGGCTCAATATTGGTTTACTGAATTCACTCATAAGAACCCCTCAGAGCCCAAGAAATGTTAAAAGAGTATAAATTAAATTTGCTTTTGTGGATCCATTCAATGGCTAATTTGTATATTTAAGTTTTTTTTAAGCTATGTGTTAATTAGTTGCCATGGCTCTATTTGAGCTTGTATGAAAACTAACATTATGTATTAGTTTGGCCCTTGATAAATTAATTTGAAAGAAGTTAATCTGAATCTAACATAAACTGGATTTAACACCATATAAGGCATAAACAATTTTGATGAACATGTACACAAAATTTTATTTATCTCACAAATGCTCAGTGTCATTCAAATCTGATTGGGACATTTGGGTTGTTTGAGAAAGATTGGTTTAAAAGTAAAACCTTATATTTAGTATCAATGAATACAAATGCAATTTATCTTCTTTTCAGTGCGAGTTGTTGAGAATGTGGGAAAAATAGAGATTGTCCTGAAGAAAAAAGAGAATACTTCTTGGAAATGCCTTGGTCATCCCCTGGAGAATCATAATTCACTTATTCCAAAGAAAGATACAGGTAGGCTGTGCTATTATTTTGAGTCCTGGGTTAATGAAAATGTTGGGTCAGTGGCTCAGTTGTATCCGAGTTTGGAAGGCCACTTGCAGTGAGCCAAAGGGTCCTTGTATCTCTCTCTGTGGAGTTGAAAGGGACATTGTGTCTGTTATCCTTCTTTTTTTTTTTAAAGCAGAAATTAAATTTATGACTCTGCTATCTAATGTTTAGACATAACAAAGGTCATTAGGTAATGATACCTAAATGTAGAAACCCACTCAAACTCTTGTCCAATCATTCACTCCTTGAGGTTTTTTTTTTTTTTATAAAAGGTACAGAAACAAGTTAAGTTTATGCCTTGTAGGCACATCTAGTCTTTTTCTGTTAGAGAAGGCACATTTACTGTCTCTCTGCTTACCTAAACCAGTTTCTGAGTTTATTCCTAAAGGTTGACACCATTCATTTCCTTCCTTTCTTTATTTTTTAAAGCTTTTTATGTAACTATAACATTTATAGGCAAAGGTGCATATTACAAGTGTTCTACTTGATGAATTTTCACAAAGTGAATGCACTCCATATTTTCTCTTTGAAAACTGGTAGGATTTGCCTCTTCCAAGTGTTTTGAAATTTCACGGTTTGATATACCTTAATGGGGGGTCTGCTTTCAACTTCTGTGCCGAATATTCATCCTCTTTGCTAATATTTCCATTACAGAAACTTAAGACCCTCGGGCCTGGGGAATACTGATATTTCTTCCCTCCATGGTCTGTGCTTACTTTCTAGAAATAGTCTTGCTTTAAGCCTTCTTAACCAGTTCTCTGATTATCTTATCCTTTCTCTCTCATTTTCAATTTTGTCCTTTTCTTCTACTTTTTGGGAGATTTCTTCAGCTGTGTCTTCTAGCTCTGCTGTTGTGTTACTCATTTCTACTCTCATATTTTTAACTTTGGAGAACTCTTTAGATTTTTGTTCCTTTGTTTTAGCATCCTGTTTTCTATCTTCTGTTTTTAAGAATTATAGTGTTTGAGAGTTTTTGTCTCCCTGTGTAGCCTCTACTCCTACAGTTTGTTTATTTTGGTCCGTCTTTCATATTAGATGCTTTCTTTGAATGTCTGCTGATCCTTGACCATCTGCTCATACTTCAGGGTGGAACTCTAAAAGCTGATTGGAAACTCTGTGCCTGTGGGTGTGGCTTGTTGACAGTAATATTTACTATGTGGCTAGATGGTTTCTTCAGGAAAAGTCTGATGCCAGTATTTTGTCAGAGTTTCTAGGGTAAACAGTCTTCTACCTCGCATCCAGCATTTCAGAAGTTATATGGGAAAAGAAGGCTGGGATATCTGTAAACTTAATTTCCTTTTTTTTTTTTTTGCCTAGTATACTATATTAGTCTTCTAAGGCTGCTGTGAAAAAGTACCACAGACTTGGTGGCCTAACAACAGAAAGTTATTTTCTCACAGTCTGAAGGCCAAAAGTCTGAGACTAAGGTGCTGCCAGGGTTGACTTCTCCTGAGGCCCCTCCTTGGCTTACAGATGGCTGTGTTCACGTGGTCTTCCGTCTGTGTCCCTATTGCCTCTTCTTGTAAGGACGTCAGTCACATTGGATTAGGGACCACCCTAATGACCTCATTTTAACTTACTTTTTGAAATACGCTGTCGTCAGGTATAGTCACTTTCTGGGGTACTGGGGGTTATGACTTTAACGTTGAAAATTGAGGGGGACACAGTTCAGCCTATAACATATACCCAATCTAGAGACCCTTTGTTTTGCCCTCTACGGAGAGAGCAAAATCCTGATATTTTGCTAGAATAGGAGAGAATCAGTCATGTGGCCGTGTGAAGTAGGGGAGGACTTCAGAAAGCAGGGGAGGCAGCATCTAGGCTTCTTCAATGAACTTCCTTCCAGAAAGAGGTTTTAGCTCTGCCTTCACTCTGATTCTAGATACTTGGTCCTGCCAATTTCTGAGCCTCAAAGGCTCATGTTACAGATGGGTTGATTCTTGGCTTTTTGTTTGTCTAGCTTAGGATTTAGCTTTACGGAGTCTACTGAGTCAGTTACCAGTCGTCTCTTTGCTTTGTCAGCTCCCAAACTTCTGTTGCTTTTTTATTTCTGTTCTTATTGTCCTTGCAGGCTAGGCCTTAAAAAACAAAACACACACACAGAGAAAAAAAACCATCTTTGCTGTTATTTTAGGGAGGGGTTAGAAGAAACTAACTGTATATATTCAGTTTAGCATCTTTAAATATTTAAAATTATAAAAATATATTTGTGGATAGTATTTTAATTTTCAGAAAAGTATCACGTAGCTGTATTTTGAGTACATACTGTGTGCAGAAGGCTATTTTAGGTATTGTGGTACGAAACAAATAAAAGGCATCAGAAATTATTTTCCCAGGTGGAAGAAAGAACATACACAAACATGAGACTGAAGAATACTTGTATCAAGAAATAGGCCAGTAAGAGCAAGTTACATAGTGCAGACTTGAATGTATTGTAAGTTTACCTTAAGTGAACTAACAGATGCAGATGAATTTGACCTTAAATGACTCTCCATGAATGAAGGAGGTGAATATCAAGCAATGTTTTGAAAGTGGCTTTAAAAATCCCAAAAAAACTATGAAGGGCTTTCCAGGTATCATTACTGGGTACTTACTGTGCCAGACCTTTTGCAGGTGGTAGAGAAAGGAAATGTAAGCCATATGTGGGAAAATTCAAATAGAGCCATTTTCCCAGAGCAGGAGGTCTCAATTGTGTGGCATAAGGTAGGGAGAGAGAACATAGAGGAATAACTGAGTGATGTAGCAGGTCAGAAGAGAATAGGTAAAAGACAGTGAAAATGAAAAGAGATATTGTTAAAGTGAAATCTGTTGCGCTGAAATTATCTGACTCTCTAGTGATTGGAAAATCATAGCAAACCAAGTAAAAGCTAAGTCCTAGAAATAAATGAGACTGAGAACCCAGGCTGACCTCCATTTGGAAATAGAATGAACATTGCTCAAGTATTCTCTTCTATAATTTCCTGAGGCTTTCCATGAACTCTTTCATCCCTGCCATAAATTTTGGCTTGAATCATGAACCATCATAGTTCGCTTTAGCTTTCTTGTCTGAAATTAGAGCCATGCATGTATTTTTCAGTGAATTAGATTTTCCACTTTGGAAAATGACTCAGAGTTCAGGGGATTTTTTTTTTTAATTTGTTTGACAGAATTAGCATAGATAATTTCTTCTTCGTCCTTTCTCTTCCTTAAATCATGACAAAAACTATAGGTTATTTTCCACACTAGCAAAGCTGAATACTTACATGATCAGAGTATTATGGTTAACTTGCTGTCAGTAGCTTCAAATGTTCAGTCTATCACATGGCTCCTTGGTTTTCAAGGAGGTTTTCATGCTGGCTTCCTCTTACTGAAATTTCGTAGTTTAAAAAATAAGCATGTAAGTTGAAGACTTAGTGCACTACCTTCTCATGTCACATCTAGAATTTACTTACACAAAAGATTCAGATATAACAAAGAACATAATCAGAGAAGAGAAACTACTTCGTTTTTACATTTAATCCAGCTGTAATAGTTAGTAAATTAAATTATATGACTAGAACCAAACTACCATTTGTAACTTGGGCGCTTCCAATTATTTTCTTCTTCCCAAAGATGAATAGATGAAGATTATGAGTGAGTAGTTGTGTGTGTGTGTGTCTGTGTGTGTGATGACTAACAAACTTGTGTCTATTAAGAGTCAAAAACAATAGATAATTGGATTGCTATTTCTGTATCCAACCTAAAGTTTATTTTAATTGTGATTGCCTTTAATATGGGATCTTAGATCACCAGACAAAGGCAGTTATACAGATTTGCCAACAAACAACTCAGTGAATGAATATTGGGATACAAAATTATAAACAAGATTTAGAAAAATTGTGTCATAATTGTGATATGTCAGCAGCTGTTTATAAACCTCTAGGTTAAATATATATAGAATCTATAACTGTCTTTACAATTCAAGTTGAACTGTATGAAATCACTGATATTTATCTTTTAACCTAAAAAAATGGCAGTTTCTCATTATTTGAACTGTACTTTCCTCAGGGCTTCCTAACTGCTCACACCACACGCGCGCGCGTGCACACACACTGAAGTACTGTCTGTAGGTGTAAATGTGCTTGTCAGCACTCTGTGAGCAGTCACTTAATGGAGGCTTTCTGTGGAGCCTGTGATTCTGCAGGCAAGGTGTTCGCTGCCACAGTGAACCACAGCTCTTGTTGCAGGGGTAGAAAGAACCGCCCTCACCCCTCCCGTCCCCTTCCTTGCCTGCGGATCAGTGTTTCTTTGCTGCCTAAAACAAGCATTCAGAATTACTGGAAAAGGAGAAAATATTGTGGATAGCAAATAGAAACTTCATTGTGCTTTGTTCTCTTAAATTGTCTGCTCAGCCCAGCAGGTGTAAAGTTGTTGCTTGCACAGTAACTATAAGATGCTTTGGCATTTTGCTGTCTTCTTATTTCTAGCGGAATGGCCTGCATATGAAGAAACAGAATAGATGGGGCAGGCTGTAAATGAGTAAGAAATTATTTACTATATTAAAAGGTAGAATAGAAGAAGTTTAAAAACTTAGAATTCAGGCAGTTCAGGCACTTCAGTGTATAATGTTGGCTGAATTATTAGTTATGGAACTGAGGAAAAGTGATAAGCACAGAAATGTTCAAGTCTAGTGACAACCTTGCTATGATGTGGACCTCATTGTCTAAGGGCCCCATTGAATCTAGTCTTGGAGAAAGAGCTTCCTTTCTCCTAACTTAATGCTAATATTTAAGTCTATAAAATCCTCACTTTGAAAGAAGGATTCAACTCACATCAGTCTAGGTGAGGTAGTAAAAGACCTGAATACACTTTAGGTATACATGTTTTTTTAAAATAATTTTTTATGTCTTTTTAAATAAACTTATTATTTTATTTATTAATTTTTGGCTGCATTGGGTCTTTGTTGCTGTGTGTGGGCTTTCTCTGGTTGCGGCGAGTGGGGGCCA